TATCTAAAAAAGTTGAAGAACATAAACATCTCTGGTAAAAAAAAACATGAGCATGCAAAAGGTCTTCAAACATTCATGCAAAACACCTTTATTTTTCTGTCTGTATGACCTAGAATCATCTGAGAAATCCATCAAAATAGGTTAGGTTCACAGTGACATGTACAAAAAAAAAATATATATATATATATATATACGAGAAAATGTACAATCCAGTTGAAACAACTTTTTTATCAACTTTCCTAGCTATGGGATCCACAAATTGATCAGATAGTGGAAGACAGGACATCTATATTAACAGCAATTGCTCATTGGTGAGAAGATATAACAAAACTTATTTTAAAAATATTAAATATTCTGCAAATGTAATTCTAACCATATTTACAATATTCAATTTATGCAACATTCTTTTAAGATATTTTTCAATATGAAAAAGTATTACAGTTTTAAATTACCTTTACTGGCTTTAACCAATGAGTAATAAAAGACCTGTGTTCCTCCTACCCACCATACACCAATAGAAGAGGGACGGCCTGTAAATAATGTACAAAGAATTACACATATTGCACATATTATCTTTTTTTAATAATGTGATTCATCATGCAAGCATGGGCTTTACAATTTTAAGCACAAGAATGAAAATGTTTACAGAACTCACCCTCCTGGCCAGGCATATCTAAACCAGTTGGTAAAAGTCGACCAGCAGTGAAAAAATGAAACATGGGTTGCCTAAGAAATTTAAAAAATTCAAACATATAATTCAATCAAGATTATCGTTCATCATTAATAAAAAAAAAGCACAGGTGTTTATATTACTTAGATATTGATCAAACTATTTATAAATCTGCCATACTAGGCTTGTGTAATTTGTTCCTATTTCAGAATGGATGTTTCTAAAGTGATTATTATGCTATCTTCATTTCAAACAATTTTGTCTACTTACTGAGCACTCTCTTCCTCCTTTGGTAAATATCTCAGGTGCTGCTCATGGAAATAGTCAAACACTGCCTTTCTATTTTCCAGATGGTGAGCTGTAAGGGAGTGGTTAGAACCACTGCCTATAACTTCCCCAGTATCCGTTAACTTTGTGGCCTGCTGAGGAGTGCTAGCATTGCAGCCTGAATTTATATATAAATTTACATGCATGGAACAAATTTATAAATTTAAAGGATAGGTACGGCTTACTACTCATCTTTGAATGTGATTAAATTCATTTCTTTAATATGTTTAATAATCTGATTAAGTTCTTTGAAAACCAAAATCAAGTAAAACCATAAACAAATAGATACTAGCTGATTCAAATAAGTGTATCATAACTTCAAATTACATATGCTGAGGAACTGTACTACTGTTTGGCAATTCCTAAACTTTTCAATTCAACACGTGTTTTGCATAATTTTACTTTATATTATTTCATACCTGTGATATCAGCTGGTGGTTTAATTTTTACAACTAATGTAGGAGTAGAGAACTTTGTATGCATTTTTTCTGAGCTCCCTCCACCACCAGGGGGTACTGGTGACATTGCCCCTCTTGATGATGTTGGACTCTGAAAATAAATTTCAGAGAGACCTTGTTAATATGAAAAATTGCTTTGGATGCACTCTGTGGACTCAAAGCATTTTAGTGACATAAAATGAAGTAAACAGTCTTCACAAAAATTTCAGGAACATTCTTAAAACAAACATTCAATGGACTACATGTACAAACCCTCTTAGGCCGTATTCAGAACAGTGGACTAACTAGTCTGTGGGTCAAATATGGCTGACCCACTTGAATACTTCCCCACGGGGAATCTATTCAGTGTCTATTAGTGGATTAGACAGCAAGATTTTAGTGGGTTGCCATATTTGACCCACAGACTAGCTAGTCCACTGTTCTAAATGTAGCCTTACAGAGTAAGAAAAGCCTGTCAAGGAAGGCCCAAAATTTTTATTCAGGCTTATTCCAAATTAAATGGATTTACTTTTCATGTGCAATATATTCTAACAGGACAGTTTTTTCAGAGTACAGAATAATGCTTTATTTTATAACTAATTTGGGAAAAAGAAGGGAGGCTTCTACAAATTTATAAAAAAAAAGGATAATGGTTAATTATAGGAATGCTCAGTACATAAATTTCAAATGATGTTGATTTCATTTCTGTGAAAAAAAAAACTAGAAAAAAAAGCATGCTGATGCCAAATCAGTAATTTCATGAAATCACTATCTTGGAAAATATTTTATTTTAGAAAGTACTATGGTGCAATAATATGACAAACTGCTGGGATATCATAATGAAGAAGGATATGTAGGTGTAAAAGCAACATATGTGATCATATCACATAAAATAATGTGATTTGGGGAGGGGGAGGATCCAAGCCAAGCTTACTGGTGTTACAAAGAGACGTGGAAGACCAAGGCTGCTTCCCTGAAATCCAGTATATATATTATTATACAATATCACCATCAATATCATTGAAATACAAAAAAAAAAAGATTAAAAGGGCCACAATGCTGTTCATGTCCTCATGTTCTATTGGTTGGTCTAAGAGAACTGCATTTGATTCTCCTTCAGCACTTGAGTAAAGACATGACAATAAAGGAGATTCAATATTTTGATCCAGCTATATTAAAATTCTTCAAAATTACCGAAACCTACTCATACATAATATTTCAAAACTTTCATCCCTAAACTTTTGATCTCAAATTTTTTAAAAGTGAGGGTCGCTTTTAAAACAACATAAGTTATTTCATAAACATAATGATTAATTCAAGTATCCACATACAAAAAGAAATATACATGTCTGTGTGACATTCCTGCCTACCTGACTCCTCTGTCCAACAGATTGTTTTTCTTCTTTCTCAGCATCTTCTGCATCTATCATTTTTTCCTCCCCAGGTAACTGTTCTCCATCTGCTGGAGCATCACTGTCATCTCCCTAGATAAAACGCATTTTTCATAAATAACTGTCCCTCAAACTAGACAGCAAAGCTTGTAAATGTACAGATACCAACAGTTTGGCATACACTTTTTGCATTTACTCTACTGGTACATCTATTTCATATTGAGCTGCAATTTATGAAGTGGGCCAAGGTAATTATATAGGTAATTATATATCTTTTACATGAATGTTTTGTATATTTAACATATTGTCTATTGTCTATGATTTTCCTGTATCAATGGATTATTTTTCTTTATATTTTCACATACCAGTGGTGCAGGACTTTGTGGCTTTGTTTGTGATGTAGACTTCTTTGATGTAGCTTCAAGCTCTCTAAGCCAGTCATCCCTAGGTAGTTTTTGAACTTCAATCCATGTTTCCTTATTGCTTGTATCTTTAAAAGAATATGCAGATCAATTGGGTATAACACTATGGTCAAAGGGAACACGATGCTTACATTTTTCAAAACAAGAATCTCAGTGCTTTATTTTTAATATTTTACACAATTTCTTGAGATTAAACACGACAGAACATTACCTTCAAAAACTATTCCAACAAAGTCTCCCTCAGTAGAAGCCTGACATTTTGTTATTATGGTCTTACTTCCACTTCCACTTTGCTCACTAGCCACTTTAAGAAGGTGTATTCTATCTTGAGCAAAGGCAAAAAACCTACTGACACCTGAAAAGAAAGTTCAAACCATTTATATAGGTATTTTGCCACTGTATTCATTTTTTACCTAAAAGCATCAGTATCAATATCCTGTTAAATTAAATTTGTCAATCATTATAAGAAATCTGGATGGAACAAACAAACATGCTGAGTTTACAAAGCTTGTCAACTCTAAACTTGTTTCATGTTTAACTTTGCTTCTAAATTGTTTTCTTTAAACAGGTTCACCATATCAGACTTGGTTTGCTTAGGATACAAATGAAGAACAAACACATTGTGTACTTTCACAGGTAATTTTTAAATTGCTTTCAAAAATTTTAGCTAAGCTCATGACACATACCCATGTCATCTACTGTGCAAAGCAAATATGTCTGTACTCCAATCAGCGACACCTGCATTTGTGTCACTTCTATCTTGTCATCTTCCCAGGTTGTAACTGTCTGTTGTGTCATTGCATCAACTGCAGCTAGACCATTAGGGAGACCAATAAAAATGTACCGTCCATCTATACTGTCACTGAGACAAGTGGCTTGGCCAAATGGCTGAAATCATAGGTAATTACAGAATTATTTATTGTGTCTATATATAACTCAAATTTGAGAAAAAAAATCCATGAAGTTTTATAGTAGACTGTACAGTCTGTGCCAGTACATGATCATCCCAATTTGTTGGGGAAAAAAGCTCATACAATTTACAATCATTTATGTTTTAATGAAAAATACTGACATAAAAAGGCCATGCACATTTTCATAATACCAAGTACTTACTCATGTCTCTTGAAAATGCTAAATCCCTTTTAATCAACATTAATTGGTTTTTCAACACAATTTCTTTGAGTTTACCTGCATTTGAATTGCACATTCATATTTTGGGGGTTTAATCCGAGATGCCTCTGCGATCCTAGCATTTTCCCTTTCAGATATAATCTCCCATATATCATCAAAAAGGTTATAGATGATCTTATTTATCATTCTATAAGGCTGAGGCAATAAATCCCGTATCTGATCAGGATCTGTCAGGTAATCATCTTCATCATCTGACATTCGGCTGAGAATAGACGGTGGAGAAATCACCATCGTTTTACGAATATACACAGGCATTCTTGCAAATATACTGTAGTCAAATATACAAAATTGAAAAGTTATCTGATGTACATGCGTCACAATTTACAAATCCTTCACATCCCTTCAAAATACTAAATTTGTTTTAAACTTCTCTATTTCTTGCAGTGGGTATCCATGTCCGCCATATTGACAACAAATGTCAGAGCGAGGCTGGGTCAGTGCGCCCTCTAACGCGTGGTTGCAATATTTACCAAGCCGATGGAAAGGCACAAACACGAGGAAGACTTCCTGTGTCATATAGTAAAATTTAACACACAGACAGCCGGAAGAGACAAATTATGCAGGTACCATGATTAAAGTTACAAGTCTGTTTGTTAAAACACCTGCATATATTAGTAGTTTATTTTGACTATACTATACACGTTACATGCAGTGTGTTGTTCACAGGTCAAAATATTGGGACATTATGAATTTCTACAGTACATGATAATAGTGACACATATTAACGAAGAAACATTCTGATGAACAGTCTGCAGATTTCCGCCTATTTATGACAAGAATATAACTATTTTGAAAATCTTCATATTCTTTATGAGTTCAGGGGGAGGTGTAGTTAGAATAATCTGGTTATAACTCTTATTATATTTTTACGTATAGTGACAGTATGTTCACAGGTACAAGCATCTACAAAGGCATGATGATGAGCTCGGCAATCATAATTTTTTGGGAAAGGGAATTTTTTAGCTGCTGTACTCGCTAAACATTGTATGTAAAAAAACAAACAAACAAACAACACCGTTTACAGAGTTTCTGCTTGTTTACCAACATCAAATTTGTCTGGCCTTACCATGCGCTCTTTAATTAACTTACTGTTAATTCTTACATTATTTTCATTGCAGACTTTTTCAGTACACCAGCAAATTTGCACAGTGGTATGTTCTTCAAAAACATTTAGATCCAGAGGTTGCTGCAAAATTGAAAAGACTAGAGAATGCTATAAGCATGACACGTAAAGGTGAGAGTTGATTTAATATCTAATGAACAGATTGATAGAGTAGCTTTGTATGTATTAAATTGTTTTATATGTAGATCTGATAATTACATATCTCAGTGGTGTCTGTATATGTATTGCCACCACCTGTCTGTCTGCATTGCCTGAGTAGAAGCTGGAGCTATGTACATTTCTTGTTACCACAATAACTGGAAAGCAATGGTCTGCTTATTGTACCACCAGCGTTAGCGCTGGCGGTACACATGGTTTTAGTCCCGTCCAGATCGTTCCGCCGGCTCCGCCGGACGGCTACCGTTACCGCTTCTCCTCCTAGACGGTAAGGGCCCCCGTACCCATCTCTTGGATTTAGGTCACCTATAATCTCAACTCGTTCCACGTAAAATTTGGGCTTTGTCGGTGTTGGGGTCTAGGTGTGGCACTCATTGCAACGCACCCTTGTCTAAAAATGGCAAAATTAAATGCTAATTATCTACCCTACGGAAGGAGTTATGGGAAAAATTTCTATAGACGGCTTTCCAAAAGTCATATGTGTAGATTTCAAATATACCCTTGGATTTGACCTTTGACCT